ACTTGTATATGTCATTCTTTGTATCAGGGGTTACCCATGCATATCATAACTTGTATATGTCATTCTTTGTATCAGGGGTTACCCATGCATATCATAACTTGTATATGTCATTCTTTGTATCAGGGGTTACCCATGCATCTCATAACTTGTAAATGTCATTCTTTGTATCTGGGGGTTACCCATGCATCTCATAACTTGTAAGTGAACTTCATGTAGTCTTTTTTTGTCCATTCAACCAAACTGTAATAGAACTCAAGTTAACAGTTTATACTATCTCTTATGGCAAACCTTTTCACAAATGGTTCAAAAACATTGAGATGTAAAGTCTTTTTTAGAATATGGTTGCATTTAGGTTTATAAAGCTTGTATCAGTAACCACTAACATTGAACTTGCCATGTTTATAGCATGCCCGGACTCTATATCCAAGTGTTCACAGTTTGCAGTCATTTGTTGCAAACATGCATTCCACTATACTTGCACCATAAGAGTGACAGTCAAATCCCACTGTTTGGTCAAACAAGAGTAGCCTAAAAATTGATGTTGGGTGCTGTTTGCTAAATGCCTTCTTTCTAACCTGGGAGTTCTAATGTGGGGACTGTGGACAGGTTTTTGCTTTGGTGAAATGGATATTAATGTTTCTCATTACCTACATTGCAAGTAAAACTTCAGCATCACTTTACTGATTATTTAATTTATGAATTCTTCTGCCCAATATGTGGGGGCACTCACGTTGACTCGACTTTCAGAAGATTGGGAGATCATTTGAAAAAACACTAATCCTAGGTTCAAGGACAGCTCAAGCATTGTTCCACATGCACTAAATGTGGTTGACTCGACTTTCAGAAGATTGGGAGATCATTTGAAAAAACACTAATCCTAGGTTCAAGGACAGCTCAAGCATTGTTCCACATGCACTAAATGTGGTTTTATCCGTAAAGTCATCAATAAGACTATGTTAAGAGTGTAGGAAAATCCTCTAATTCTTCACAAAAAAAATCAAAATTAAACAATCAGTCAAGTGCTACGGAAGTTTTACATGCAATGTAGACAACGGAATTTTATGTAAACTTTCACACTCTACCATGTAATATTATCATTTTTTTTCACTATAACTAAATTTGCTGGTAGCAGGACCAAAATGATGGCCGAGGTTCAAAAATGGGATGATCCTTCATTACTTCCAGGATTTAGATGAAATGTTCACAAACAAATTGAATGGTTGGTTTGAGTAAAAATATTTGTGGCTCAATACTTGTAAAACTTAGGGCTTTCCACAGCATATCTCGCTATGGAACAAAAACCTAATATTGTACTGCAGTTTATCAATATAAAAACCAATTTTGGTTTTGAACACTGATAATGTTATTCTTTCTACATATAACATCTGTTAGGCTTTATTTTAGACTACTGTTTAAGTTTAGGTCTGCTTACTATATTATTGATAGATCTTTGTTGGATAAAAATAATAATGTTGCGTCATTGAGATCACGTGACTATTCTCACGCCCTCTAGTTTCTAGAACTATCCCGTACCTTGGCGAATGCTCTAGTATTTACTAGATAGGGTAGGCTGGTATATAAAAGAGGGTGACAACGTGAAGAGAATAATGTAATGTGTGTGTAGATAGTGAGTAATTGAACTGCAGTCAGAAGTATTATTGAGCACGTTCGTTGTTATAGCGTTTGTTTAGTGCGAATATTGAAATTAAGCGTATCGTAAAGAATAAACCAGTTTTATTAAATAAAGACTTGTGTTGTCGAAGTTACGGAAAAATCAATTAACAAATGGAGACGTAACAATAACAATAATGGTTTATCTTACTAATGTATGGTACAAGACTTAAATGTTTTTAGTTGTTTTCTGTGAAATGTCAGAGATAATTATGAAATTTAATACATGTACCGAAAATAATGAATGCTTAACTAATTATTCTGTAAGCAACCTGCTTAATCACTGGAATGGTAAAGATGGTTATTTTTTGTTTTTTTTGGAATTTTCATGCAAAGGACCCAGCAAATAACAGTGGCTCCAAAATAGATTCTACCTGATCTCAAAAATGTCTGTGTACAATCATTTTGTGGTTATCTGAAATAAGCCTGTTAGCTTCCCAGTTCTAACGTTCTAATCTGTCTTTTTGTTAGGCAAGCTTCCTAGTTCCAATCTTCTAAGCAAGCTTTCATTAGGCACAGCTACCTAGTTCTAACTTTCTAATTAACCTTTCACTAGGCACAGCTACCCAGTTCTAACTTTCTAATCTACCTTTTGTTAAGCACAGCTACCCAGTTCTAACTTTCTAATCTACCTTTTGTTAAGCACAGCTACCCAGTTCTAACTTTCTAATTAACCTTTCATTAGGC